TGATTTAGTAAAAGTCCATTAGCTAGAAACCAACTTTCCAGCTTTTTTAATTCTTTTTTATAATCTGTGGAAACATTGATTTATCTGGATGGGTGAACATAGTAGATGTCGTCAGCAAACATAATCCATTTGGAATTTAAGGTCATGGGCAAGTCATTGACACAAGAAGAGTTAAGGTCCAAGAATGGGCCCTTGAGGTACACCATCTGTGATTAATCTCTAATCAGAATTAACTACCAGTGACTGCAAATTTATACACTGTTTTCTGTTGGATGAAAATGAAACCAACCATTTAATGGTCCTGTCCGATACACCATAAAACCACAACTTCCGAATCGTTATATCATGGTCTACACAGTCGGAACGCTCTTGACAGGTCACAGAAGAGACCAGCTTCTACATTCTGCGACCTGTCAAGAGCATCCGCTACCTCAGATACAAAGCTGAGTACTGTATGGCATATACATTGCTTTTACTCTTTTTAACTAAACCCACACTGATGTATGTTCAAGAGTTGACATTCATTCATTAAAGTAATCATACAACGTAGTAAAACAATCTTTTCAAATATTTTGGAGAATGTCGGCAATAATGAAATGGGCTTATAATTAGTTCTTTTGGATTACCTTTTTTATAACTGGTTGACAGCTTCGGAAACACACCTATATAACGAAAAGTTGATTAAATGGGCAGTTAATTAGGGTTGGGATCAAATATGAACATTGTTTTAACATTTTTTTATATGAAAGGTGATCTTTCATCCCATCCACACGATTTGGAAGGTTTTAAGTCGTTAACTATTTGCTGAATTTCTTAAGGATCTGCAGTTTTATGATGTTAACATGGAATTAGGGTGGACCCCTTATGGTAAAAATGTTATTGAGTTGTTCTGTCGGTTGTAATATTGCTTACATTGGTCCTGACTCCTAAGCCATTCTTATTACGGTCTGTCTGTCGAATTGAATATTGCTTACATTGGTCCTGAGTCCTTAACCAGTCTTTTTAACGTCTGGATGTCGAATGGGATATTGCTTACATTGGTCCTGACTCCTAAACCAGTTTGTTTTACCGTCTGACTGTCGGTTTTAATATTTCTTCAGTTGGTCCTAACTCCTTATCCAGTCTTATCACCGTCTGGCTGTCGGTTGTACATTGCATACATTGGTCCTGACAGTCAAGTTGTCGGTTGCCGGACACCGACTGGACACTGGACATTCTGCAACCATCGCCAATCGATCCTTCACACGGAGGGTAACTATCCTTCTGTTTACTACCAATTACATTTAGCAATGCCATCTAAGGTCAGCTTCACACTTTCGCCCGGTATAAAACTAACGGACTACATGCAGCTGCCGCATACAACATGATAGCGTGGCTGGTGAGTATAGTGTTTGTGTTGTTCTAAATCAGTTGTGTCTTTGAAATAAAGTAGTGAGTCTTAGTTCCATATGTCTGAGTTGGTAATCCAATAGGCCTATCAAACGTGTTACTACTTATTATAAAAACGCGAAAGCTGTTATAATCGTTTTATTTGCATTCAAGAAAATAATTTGTTGTTTAACCATATTCTGCGGTCAAAAATCAGTAAATTATTCTAAACACATAAACTTTTTATCATAAATTAAACTATTTACCTTTTAGATTTGCACAAAGACAAAGGAATGAAAGAGGTGTCCGCGAGGGTTTTAATAGTTTTGTTTCGTGACAGTTAAGCAAACAGTGTTAGGAGTGGCAATGATGGATTAGCTACCCTAGTCTTTTAATCAAACTAATTGCTACTTCTCGTGATTAATTAAATATACTTGCACCCTGCATAATTAGATCTGTTTAATTACATTGTAAACGTAAATATTCTTTAAATCGGTCAAAGCCAGTGCTGCGCCTGTCTCCTTTAAAATACATGTTAAGTCTAAGGTTAAACAATTTATGTAAGCATTTCGAATTAGTATTACGTTTTGTATCAAAGCTTGTACAGCTTTTATTGTCTTAAAAATTTACTAACTGCTGTTAGATAGCATTTCAACATTATAACCGGCTGTGTTATGACTAAGCTGTGGTTCGTGAGTTAATTACATCGCTCATATTTAACGACACAACATTTTGTTAGTTGTGGAATTTAAATTACTCTCCTAGCCTATCCTCCTTGGTTACCATAAACTTAGGTCCCTTAGTTGCTATTAGCTGTATGGGCTATAAAATAACAGCTTTGTCTAAAGAACATGTCGGCCTTAGTCACTAACAATAATGTCGCACCACTCATCCTACAATCATCCTTCACTCTTATTGGCTTCACTCATATTCACACATAGTGACGTCCCCATCTTAAATAATTGATATAATTGATTGAATTAATTAATTAATTAGATTTAAAGAAGTCCCGCCTTTGTTACAATACTATTTAAACAAGACCAGGTGAAACACAAAGGGAATCGATTACAAATAGTTTAAAGTAATATATAGCCATTACAATTTCTATACTAACTGGGAAACTCCTTAATGTCTGTGAAAAAAGATTCTGAAGAGCATCTCCATCTACACAGGAAATGTTGATAACATTCAATATTGTCAACACGTGTGTAACGTAGGCCAAGTAGTGATTGGTATTAACTCATGACTACTAGAAAAGACCCGTTATGGATAATAAACATAAACAAATGACGTTTTTGGCCCGAAAGTAAAAAAACCATATAATAATGCTATTAGTATAGGGGCTTTGTTTACTTTTGGACCAAAAACGACATTTGTTTATGTTTATGATCCATAGCGATATTTTTCTAGTATTCGTGGTATTAACTTACAAGATTAGATTCATGTTAACTAGTGTACCTGTTGCTCGAATTCGAGCAATTGCGAAGCATGCGACTCAAAGATTGCGGAAATACTCACGATCTACACAACAGTTAAATAAAATCCAAATCTTTTGTAAATATCTTATTTTTTTCATAAAGCTGATCTTGTTTTTTTAGTGTTTTTAGTGTAAAAAAAAAACAATATTTCTATTTATTTTACTTGGTTGTGTTCTATGACTTTTTCTATGTTTCCATTGTTTGCAAATCGGTTATTTCAATGATTGCTCAAGAAATTTAGCACAGTGTTAATTCAGTTTGGTTTTAGCCTATATCAAATTAGTTAGGATTTATCGCTATTTTCCATTGTAATAATTACACCAACCCAAGTTTCGTCTACAGATGCAATATGCCAAAGAATATCACCTACGCACAATCTCCAAGAAGTGGTAAAAAAGGCAGAAACCAACCCATACAATAGATACCTATAAGTTAACTCCATAAGAAATAATTTTAAAAGTTACTGTGATATTAGGATTTTCCACTCATTTGGTAATAGAACATTATATTGCAAAACATGACACGATGCAGAAGAAAACCAATTTTAAAATCAGAAAAATCCATTGCAAATACTGTACTTCATTTTGACAAATTCAATAAATCACAATTTAAATATTAACAGCTGTTGCATTAAAAAGTAGTGTAGAATTATGCATATGGTCGTAATGTAAACAAATCTGAAGAGGCAACTTCTGGGATAGAGGCGGGCTTCTGGGGCAGAGCCCCAAGGAAGTTTACCTCTTTCCTCTTTTGATGGCTCATCTACAGACCAAGACCTTTCTTTAGAGACCCCAACCAAGTTTCTACGCCCACCCGTTCTCTAAAATTAGCTGTGACAAAAACCCCGTTTTCCTCCATAAGAATAACATGGGATGGGAATTTAAAGGCCACGGAGGCAGAGCCCCAAGGGAATTCACCATGTTTCTCTTTTGATGGCTCATCTACAGACCAAGACCTTTCTTTAGACACCTCTACCGAGTTTCTACGCCCAGCCGTTCTCTCAAAATAGCTGTGACAAAGAAAAACAGTTTCAAATTAATATATAGATTGTATCATTATAAAAACATAAACAGTTAATATGATCTTGGAATACCAACCTAGTAATCTAAAATGTTGACAGTTTTATCCTGAGAAAAGTAATCCGGCTGATCTTATTGACAAAGCATTCACTCATCGCCTTAAATACGCTCTCCGTTTTGTCAGTCTGGATACTTTTGTAACATTTCTCTTTTTCACGCAGGTTCTTCTTCTGATAAGTACGTCACAGTTAGTGACGTCACGACCGTACATGGTGGAACAAGAGCCAGAGCCGGAGCTTGAACAAGACCACGAGCCGGTCCACGACCATCACCACAAGGTCGTCGACTACTACGTGAGTATACCTGGTGGCTCGGGACCCAAGTTGTCCTATTGCAGTCCATTTGTTATGTCCCACTTGCACATCGTAAGATGCCATGCTCTAGTTCGGAAGATTATCTTACTTCTGGCTAAGCCTTGAATGTCGCAGTAATATCACATAGTTAAAATCCATCTTAATTGACGGGATTTGAAGCCGAGACCTGAAGACCCGCGCTCTGCCACTATGTCAGCTCACTCTCTAATTGTTAAGACTACATAAAAGACTACTGTTGTACGTAAAGTGATGCTCTAAATTACTATATACATGGTACATAACCACGATTTGCAATAGTAAGGCCATGGATGTTTTAAATCAAAGAAAATATGATGCTTTTGATGCTTTGTAACTAGGCCCTGCTTTTTTCATTGTTCCTTTAAATATATTTAATCCGGCAATGGTTGGTTTAGTTTATTTCATAGTTATAAATAGCAAGGTAAAAAATAAAAATAAGTTGTGATCTTGTGTAATTAGTTAAAGAAACACATTTTCAACGACGTAATTGTAAATACATACCCTCTTTTTATTCTTGCTCTCATGAAAAAAGAAATTTTTGTTACTTTTACCGTGTCTGTCATCATTATAAACTAACCCGACCTAACCACCACAGCGCATTATATAAGAGTAGCCATCCTCTTATTTGAAATACCCCGATAATTTTTGAAAATACTGGTTACCATCAGTTGACGTAGCTTTATTATTTCATCAGCGATTATAAAGTATCAAGATATTACCTTTATTGTCTTGTTGTTCTTCAGGCTGAGCCGCACTACGCGTTCGAGTACGAGGTTCATGACCCTCATACTCATGACGTCAAGAGCGCTCATGAGACTCGCAAGGGAGACACGGTCAAGGGATACTACAAGCTGGTGGAGCCGGACGGATCCATCAGGGAGGTGCACTACACAGCTGACAAACACAACGGCTTCAATGCTGAGGTTACCAAGACAGGACACAACCACCATCCCCACCATCATTGAGATAGAGCATAATACGTCATCCTTAACTTCATTGAGACAACTGGACACATGGTAGCTTCATCACCATCCAGACAATACGATACAATATAGAATCCTCACCACCATTGACGAAAGGGGTCAAGAGAGCATCTTCACAATCATTAAGACAACAAAAGAGAAACAACAACTCATCATCATTAACACATTAGGACACATAGCATCCTAACTAAAATACCATTGAGACAACTGAACACAAGAAATCATCCTCACCCAACTATAATACACCACTAGCCATCATTGAGACAATAGAGCACAAGATGGCATCTTCACAATCATCAAGACAATTGAGACACTAAAACTCAACTGTATTAACACAATAGAACACAATATTGCATCCTGACTACCAGTGATAGGTACGACTAAACACAAGAAAACATCCTCACCCAACTATAATACACAAGTCACCATCATTGAGACGACATGGCACAAGATACAGTAGCATCTTTACAATTATCAAGACGATTGAGACACAAAAACTCACCATTAACACATTAAGACACAATGTAGCATTCTCACTACCGTTGAGACAATAGAGAAAAAAATGGTATCTTACAAGACATCGCATGACAATATATTATTTTCACGACAATACAATAATAATTGAGACCACGGAAAAAGATATACCAAATACCATGAGATGCAACAGGGGTAAAGATCTTGCCTAAGATTGAGAAACAGTTTAACGATTAGAACCTCTCTGCCATTGAAACAATAGGAGAAGGTACATCATAATTCGTAAACAATAAGGTCATAAAAATATCACAGAACAAGCTTCAAGCAAAAATAATAAATTAGAATAAAACTTAAAGATATGTGGGAACAATGTGGGAGGCAATGAGGCTTATTTTATAACATTTCATTAGGTAGATTTTAAAATTTGATATGTTTACAAGTTTTTCATTGTTGTTACTATGTATAATTAAATCACAAAAGTATTCATTGGTATAAGAAGTAGTCTATTGACACTTACAGAAATTTATGTATTTTTAAGATTGCTATTTTTTTGTTCTGATTAAATGGCAGGCAAAATTATAGTATCATTTAACACTAACTTAAGATTACAATAAGAGATAATCTTAAGGTTATACACTTACATGATAAATCTCATAAATTGATAACACTTTAGTCGACTGTGATAGAAACGTTTCAGGGCAAAATGTAGTGTGAATTTAGTTTAATTTTATTTATTTTAATTAAGCGTATATGCATGAGCGGGTTAAATGGGTAAGATAGTATATTGTTTTGTATGAAAACTAGCTTTCATTCAGTTTAACACTTCACTAAGTTTGTTTCTACAAGGCTGTGGGGTATCCGGTGCTTTGGATTTAGGATTATATATATTGTATATTGTATTGTACCAAGTTACAACCTTAAGTTAATTGAAGTTTTGTATTTTGACTTCACTTGATCAAACTTTGTTTCACTATTTGACATGCGGCTGAATCAAGTTTGATATTAATATTTGCATATTACTTGGGTTAAGACATTTATTTCTAGTCAAGTTCGTTGCAGGTGATTTGACTATGAATCTTACATTGTATAATTTTCCCACTTCATTTCTGTTATTTATTTATGTTAGTAATACAAGTTTGTTAAGTTTTTGTATTTTTTTATACCAATAAACGTTTTAAATGTATATGATTAGTTTTACGATGTTCCTATGAAATTCTATTAGATATATTATAATATAAAATGGAATAATTATTGTAGTAAGTGAGCAGGACAAAGTAAATCTGGATGTAGGTAAACTAGATGTTTTTTATCAAAATTGATTACAAGACAACATTTATTTTTTCAAATGAATTCTCTCATAATTACAGTAGGTAGGCTACATGATCAAAGTGTATACGTGACGTTAAAATAAAACACCAATCAAATCACAAACCCCTGGTTTAGGAACGAAAAACCTCAAAATTATTACATGTAGCAGCAATGCTTCCTTTACTTCATAACCGATCAGCTGATATGCGTTTTCATATTGTTGTCCATTACGGTTTAGTGTTATTAGAAATTAATTGTATTTTTCCACGCTCAACGATTATGTCTTCTGGAAAACATTGACAGTAAATTATTCTTTTTGTGTCAAGAAAGAGTCAATTATGCTTCAAGGCATGATTCTAGTACCTAAAAAATCACTCAAAGGTTATAATAATGTAAAGATGAGTAATGCGTTACTTAATTTTTTCGTATATGTGCTTTACAGTAGTTTACGCAACGATTGCGTAAAGATAGTGTTAACGACACGAGTAGAAAACTTAAGGTACGAAACACTATTCACGCGGGTTGCGTACATTACTTTACCTAAGACAGTGTTTTAATTACTACTCAAAAATCACTACTCATATCTTCTTAAGAGGTTATGTTTTTGTTTATAACCTCTCACTGCCACTGACAGTGATGCAACGACCCATTGTACAAACCACTAGTTGCACCGATCAATGGCAATTAAATTGGCCTGAACAGCTCAGTTGAAGTTCAAAGCATTACAATTTTGCCTCTTTTCTCTCGATCCTTGGACCTCATTTGTCCGTTACTCGTGTTGTTAAGTAAAATAATGCTGTTAAGTGAATCGTGTCAATTCTAAGAACAGAACTTAAACGGTTAGTTTAAAAAAACAGTCGTAGGTAAAAATACTAAGCTTATACATATTATTTGATATCATTACTATCCTCCAAAAAAGGTTTTAAAGACATATACACTTATAAGGAGTATAGTCTACTTCTTTTAGCGAATTTCCCTATAGGGAAGTAGCTATTACCGTAGGTCTCATGGTAAGACCTAAGCCCGGGACCGATTTACTTTTTCATTTTGATGTCCCCAAGTTTCCTACTGATTTACTGGTTTTAATTAAATCAGCTGTTTTATAAAAATACATACTTTACATTTTTATGTTTCAATAGCAATCCAAAATACTTCATTAGTTTACACCAATATGTACTTAGATGAAATAACCAAAATAGCATTCTCTCTCATAAAGGATGATGATTTTTACAAAGAGTCTAAACAACTCCAAATAAGCAATTGCGCAAGGTGTTATTTGAAAATTCTTAGTACAAGTAACGTTCATTTTTTTGTTGAAATTTTGTCCGATGAAGAATGTTGGGAGACTACAAAAACCACACACGGGGTGAGACTCAATAGAAGAGTAGTTGCTAGAAAGCTAATCAAGCCCCAGAATTGGAAAGGAACAAACAATCCACTGGACGACTTCTACCGCTACAAAATAGCCTGTTGGTGCTGTATAGAAGAGGAAGCTGCTGTCATGTTTGAAACTTTTAAAAGAGAAGACGGAATAAAAGAAGACGATTTGCCAGCTCTGAAAAAGCTAGTCAAATCCCTAAGCTTAAATAGACTAAGCGGGTATTGGTGTACGGATTCGATGATGCAATTTTGGTCACATTTCATCAGTGGATGTATTTCAGACTTGGATATAAAAGTTCATCCTTATGTCTTCGGGTTACACAGAGCTGCAATTCGTTCAACCAGACTACGTCTAGAGGCGGTGGAATACTTTTGGTACAAAGTCCAGACGATTCCTGAAATGCAGATGGGTGATGAGGAGAAGAATGAGGTTTTAATGAAAATTGCGTTGCATGTATCTGAATATTGGGGATATACTGATGTGTCAGACTTTTGTATCAGTCAGATAAATCCTGATAGATACCACGAGCTCTTGAAAAGAGACTTTTCCCAGCATAAGTCATATAAAACATTATTTGCTCTTCAACGAAATCGTTCCTTCGAAGAGCTAAGGCAACTTTTCGATCACTTAACCCCAAGTGAGTTTTCGGAAGATGACTATTACGATATGTTAGTAAGTATTAACATAGAAAAGTATTCAGAACACTACGCGAATCTAGGTAAGGAATTTCTCATGTACTTGTGGACGAAGGAAGGTTTTCAAATGCATAGGGATTATGTAACTTTCCGCTAAACAAATTCTTAGGCTACGGTAGGTTAGTCAACAAGAAACCTAAAAGGATTCAAGTAACCCAGTGTAGAAAAGCCAAATGAAAAACAAAAATCTCAATTGTGGCATGGGGGTGATTAGCAGCTAAAATATTATTTGCTCATGTACATAACTATTCTCAGAAAAAAATAAACTAATCGTTGTTACCGAGGTTTTTATTGCAGGTGTTTATAGTTCTCCAATGACTTAATATCATATTGTTTTAAAAGTAAACTCTGCACATTATTTATGCATCGACCATTGAGGCAGGGATTGCTCGTTGTAAATGTATCTAATTTAATACTACTTTTTTATCGTACCAAATGTTTCTACTTATGTACCGTCAACCGGGATTAGATTGACCCCTTTTTTGATGTTTTTGTTGATTAATTTTTGTTTATATTGATTAATATTCACAATATATTTTTTAAATTATATACAGGTACTGTGTGAATGCCAACCAGTATTATTTTGTTTTTTATTGTCATATGTTAGTCATAAAAAAAAATTATAAAAGGGGTCAATGTTACCCCGTGTCTTGGGGTGACATTGACCCCCTACATTTATTATACTAAAATTATACATAATAAAGCACTGGGGTCAATGTTACTAGTGTACAATGAAACTTTGACCCCTGTAAAAGGGGTCAATGTTACTTAAGAACAATTGAGTGGTAACAACATCAAGGAGTGAACATAAAAATGTTTGTATGAACTCACCTAGGCTATAATGATGGAATAAATCAAATTAGCAATTTTTTTATCACATGATTAGGATGTAGGCTAACACCAAGGTAAAACATCAAAACTACAAGTTATTAGTGACTAAAATCATTAAATTTCCTTTACTCAAACCCTTCCAAAAAGTTATAGAAAATTTTGCGCCCATTAGATTCCAGAGTTCCCGGCTACTTACCAATCAGATCTACAGATGGGGCAGAATAGAAAACACATAATTTTCTTTTGGATGTAAATTTGTCCCCATAGTTAGTGTCAACAGAATTAAGTCACA